CACGGGGTGCTGCAGGCTCGTTCCATGCCCTGATCTTTCAGCACCCACATGTTTCTGATCAGACCAGCGCGTGGGGAGGGCCCGTGGGCTGCATGGAGCCCTGTGGGCTTGGGGGAGCGAGCAGGGGAATGATGATGTCCTATCAAGAAAGCAGGGGGGGGCGGAGGGGGCTACGTGCGTTTCCTGGGTTCTCCCGGCATCTCGAGCTCGGCTGCGGACGTGTGCGTTGTTTCACCTCCCCAGGAGCATGCGCGTGCTCCAGTAGTTGAGCCGTACTCGGCCTAGAGCGCCGGCGTAGCAGCTCCGGCGGTGCGAACTGGCGTTGCATGCGTGATGCAGCCCCGGGAAAGCCTTCCCGGCACGCCCCCACGCGGGCCGGCACTCGGCTTCCAGGACTCGCCTCCGCCGCCCGCCCTGCGGCCTGTGCTGTGGCACGCGTGCAAGCCGCCTGCCCAGCCAGCATCCTCCACCCAGCCCCCTGCACTCTTCCCTACCATCCTGACGTGCAGGCTGAAGCCCTGCACGGCACCCCGTCATGCGGCCAGCCGCCGCAGCCCTCGCGGCGTTGTGCCTCGCCGCTGCAGCGTTGTGCGCTGCCGCACGGTGTCCCTCGCTGCCGCCCGTCCCTCCCGACCTGCCCGCCGAGTTTTGCAGCCCCGCCGGCGGCTGGTCGCCGGTGCTGGGCACGCACCCGCAGGAAGCCCTGCCCGGCTTCCTTTTAGAGCCCGCCATCCTGGCCACGCTGCAGCAGGAGCTGAACGCCACCGGCTGGGCGCCGCGCCCTCGCGGCCAGCTGGCGGTGTCGCTGCAGGGCTGCCAGCGCGCCGTGTGTGGCTGGTACTTCTGGCTCCGCTTCAACCTCACCTGCCTGTACAACCAGGGCCAGGCGGCGGCGGAGCTGATGCTGAACATCCCGTCCTCGCACTCTTCGGGAGATGCCCCCATCGTGAGCAGGCCGCCGCCGCTAGAGCACGAGCCAGAGCTGACGCTGCTGGCGCGGCGCCTGCCCTGCCCATCAGCCTGCTGCGTGGGCGTGCTGGCGTGCAGCGGCTAGGGCAGCAGCAAGGGCAAAGCCTGGGCTTGCAAGCCCAGGCTTTGCTTCTTGGAGTGCATCATGCAGGTGCCGCCCAGCTCCTTCAACTCTGTTGACCCCCCCATGCATGCAGGTGACGGTGCTGAGCCTGGAGCTTCTGCAAGAAGGCAACGAGGCCATGGATAATGATGAGGAGGAGGCAGCAGAAAAAAATGCGCAGCTGGAGGGCCCGCCTGGCACCATGCCCGCCAGCGTGGCGCGCGTGGCGACGGTGGCGCCGGGCCAGACACCTGCCGCTGAGTTTTGCTCCAAGGCGCAGGGCTGGGAGGCGGTGCCGGATTTCGAGGGGGTGCCCGGCTTCCTGATCGACCCTGGAGTGCTGGAGGGGCTGCAAGGCGCCAACCCCGTGCCCTGCCTGCACCAGGACCGCACGCTGGCGGCGTGCGGCTGCTCGCTGGCAGCCCCCGCTGGCGCCCGCTACTGGCTGCTGGCCAATGTGTCGTGCAGCCAGCACCTGTTGACCTCGGCGAGCTGGGGGAAGCTGCGCAGCGCCGCCAGCTGGCGCAGCTCCAGGAGGCGCTGGCGAAGGGCGGCGCCAGCCGGCTGGAGCACTATGTGCACAACGTGGTGGGCGCCCTCAACCTGGCGCCCGCCATGTTTGGGCAGCGCGAGACCTACCTGGATGCAGTACGGCGTCGGCAGGACCGCGAGGCGCTGGCGCAGCTGCGCACCGGGTCGCATTGGGGCGCGGAAGAGACCGGCCGCTGGACGCGGCGCCCCCGAGAGCAGCGAGTCTGCCCCCACTGCCACGACGGCATTGAAGATGCCCCCCACATGCTGCTCACCTGCCCCCTTTACGCCCCGCTGCGCCTCAACTTTCCTGACCTGTTTGCTGAGCCCCATCCTCCCCACCGCTTCCTCCGCCAGAAACCGTGCCGCCTCGCCGCCTTTGCTGCCGCCTGTCACCAGCGCTGGCTGACCGCCACCGTTGCGCTGCCTGCAGTCCCGCCCTGAACCCCCACTCTCATGTCCACCCCCTTTGCTCTTACCGCACCACACCTGCTCCACGACATGCAGTACTGCCTGCCCGCTCACACACTAAACGCTCGGTGACCTGTCAGTTGGCCTGTCCTGCCTGTTGTTCTACTGCTTCATCCCTCCTTGCTCGAACAACAAAGTCTGTGCTGCAAGCTTGTTCTTGCTGAAACCAGACTGTAAGCCCACACAAGCAAGCGTGTGGTCGGAAGGGCGGACCAGCACCGAGGTGGTGTTTGATGTGCCTGCCACCGCGGCGCTTGCCGTCCAGGAGGCGCAGACCGAGGTGGGCGAGGAGTGCTTGGCTGCCAGGCGGCTTTCTCCTGGGCTGGGCTGTCACAGCTGGCTGCTTGTCGTCCCTCTGCGCCTGGTGGAGGTCAGGCACCCTCACTACGGCAGTGCCATCCTCACCTCTGCCTGCTGCCCCAGATGGAAGTCGTGAGCGTGGTGCTGGATGCAACGCAGTGGGGATCACCTTGGCGGCGGCGGCGAGGGCGCCGGCGTTCGTTGCTGCGGTCGTGGCGCTGGTGGAACGATTGACTACTCTGCTTTCAACACCCGCCCTCCCCCCCGGGCGCATGTTCGGTGTTGGAGGGGTGTGCCCAGCGATAGGGGGCCCCTGAAGGCATGCGCCGAGGCCGGGAAGCGTGGTTCGGCGCTGCTGCACGCTTGGCGACTTGAACAGAACCGCGTGCCGCCGAGCTGCGGCCGCAGTTTCCGGCCCACGGTCTACGGCCGCAGCCAC